ACAAGTCGCAGAAGATATCTGGCGATAAGCTCACTGACATGTACAAGAGCTTCTGCGCGAATTATCCGGTCATCTCCATAGAGGACCCTTTCGACCAGGACGACTTCGATGCCTACGGCAAGATGACCGCCTCTCTCGGTGTGAAGTGCCAGGTCGTGGGTGATGACCTGCTGGTTACGAATCCCAAACGCGTCCAGAAGGCGATCGACGAGAAGGCCTGCAACGCGCTGCTGCTGAAGGTGAACCAGATCGGCTCGGTGTCGGAGTCCATCGAGGCGGTGGCCCTGGCCAAGTCGGCTGGCTGGGGCGTCATGACCAGCCACAGGAGCGGCGAGACAGAGGATTCCTTCATCGCGGATCTCGCGGTCGGGCTGGGCACTGGCCAGATCAAGACGGGGGCGCCATGCCGTTCCGAGCGGCTTGCGAAGTACAACCAGCTCCTCCGCATCGAGGAGGAGCTGGGCGCGAAGGGGAAGTACACCGGCGACGAGTACAGGCTGCCCAAGGTCCGCCGCCTGAAGTGAGAGGCCCGCGAGCGGCGCGAGGGCCCTTCCTTGCAGGAAGAGGAGGGACTCCCCAGCGGCACGGCCCGGCAGCGTGGCCAGCAGCTTTCAGCCCCGCCGCTGCGGCGCCCACTGCGTCGGAGCCGTCTGCATACCCATGCTCCGCGGCGGTGCACGATTGGGCAAATCTTTAGTACGTGTCCCGACCCCTTGTGGAGCCAGGCACGCGGCCACCCCTCATTTCCAGCGGTTGCGCTCTGAGGGATCGTTTTGTTGCCTCCTGCGCGGGGGGGCCATCTGAGCTCGCGCGCCCAGGCTTGCGCTCAGCACCGGCCAGGCGAGGCCCTCGCTGCCCCGCTGGCAAGCCCAAACACTAACCCTCCTCCTCCTCCGCCGTCTTCTTCTCCTGCTCCTCCTCTTCCTCCTCCTCTCCCTCCTCCTCACTTCTCTTCCGACCGTCTCGCCTGGCGCTCGCAGCTTGTCTTCTGCGGCGAGGCTACGCGCACGAGCGCGCCAAGAAGTGCTCCATCGGCTGAGGCTGGCCGGGCCTCCGATTCCCGAAGACTGTTTTTCTGGACGGGTTATGGCTGGCACTTCCCCCCGTGGAGGGCGAGAGGATCGGGAAAGAAAACTTGTGCGCGCAGCCCCCTGGCCCAAGGTGCCCCCCAGGATCCAAAAGGAGGCCCACACGGCATCCAGAGCACCCCTCACGAGGCCCAGAAGGCTCACGGGAGTGCAACGTGGAGCGACGAGCTGAGGGCACCTTGGGCGAGAGGCACCCGACCAAGAGATCGGAGCATGCAATATATCAGGTGATGCCTTCGGCTGACCATTGTAATTTGTGGGAACTTCCAGGGAGCGTCGAGTTGCAGCCCAGGTGTGCGGTGTGGCATAGATTGGGTAAGCATAAAAACTCGGATGTCCGCGCGGATTTCTTGGATCCGCGTTGGACCTCCCTCCCTGGCGCGGAGCGCGCCAGAGACGGCGCCGGGGGCGCCGCCAGGGGTCTCCAGCGCTGATCCGAGAAATCCGCGCGGACCTCAGAGTTTTTATGTTTATGCCATTATTCTTCCCTTATGGTGCTCCAGTGCCACGACGTTGGTGCAGAGCGCTTCTGTGACGCCGTCGTCGCCCCCCCCCTGCCCGATCCTCGCCAACCTTCCAAAGTTCCGTCGGGCCTGTTCAAAAATAGCCAAACAGTAGCTAAAGTATTTGAGGAGTGCTCCAAAGTAGCCAAAGAGAATCATCGGGGGACGATCTTCCCAGAGAGCTTCTTGCCACCCGGCCGCCGGGCGGCGCGCCCCCCCCCCGCCCGCGCGCCGCCGCGCCAGGCGCCGCGTGGTCGCCGTCGGAGGGCCTCTGCGTCGACCGCTCCGTCCGGGCCGCGGGGCCCAGCGTCCTCCGGCACCCCCTCCAGGGGCTCGCTCCGATGCCTCCGATGCGATTCGGTTCGGTCTCGAGGGCTTCCGATTCCGGTTGGGTTCGGCTTCGGATTCCGAGCTGGGTTCTGGTGCTTTATAATTGGAGGCGTACTATAGCCTGCCGATTTCCGCCGATTCGACCTCTCCCGACTCGGCTGCCGATTTCCGCCGATCCGACTTAGCTCGATCGCCGAACCGACTTCACGACTCGTTTCTGGGCAGCATTACAGTCAGCGGCAACGTTGGGGGAGACACGGTCGGACCGATGTAGAAGATCGACGTCGATTCGGGAAGGGTACCTTGATGTTTTGATGAGAGCTGTATCAAGCTCTGTTGAGGGAGATGCCTCATGGACGGTCGTCGGGGAGACCTGGGTTACAGTCGGACCGAGGTATAAGATCGAGGTCGGCTCGGGGAGGGTGCCCTGATGTTTTTCGTGTTTGTCGGATGCTCCTGTGCATCCTGGGGGAGGGTACCCGCGAATATTTTTCAGTTTGGCCGGCGGATGGTCTTATGCTCTTGATTAGTCCTAGGTTTGGCCGTAGTCGGACGGGGCTAGGACGAGAATCAATCCATTCCAGAGCGTTCGGGAACGCTCTGAGAAGGCCGCGGCGCCAGAGACATTCTCCAGAGCCGCCGGATCTCAGAGATTCTTGGTTTATCCTGACCCGCATTTATTTTCGTCCTGGCATCGTCTTAGCTAGGCTCGGAAGGGGATACATTGATCCCCAAATCGCCTATTGATCGCCGGTAGGGGCCCGATAGCCCATTCCGCCCAGGAACCTTGCGGATTTATTATCGGGGACCTATCGCTGATCTATTGGTGATGTATCGGCCATTCCAGGTCGATGCTTCCCCCCCTGAGCCTGTCCCGTCCTTCTCGCTGCCCCGCAGTTGGGGGGGGGACAGGCTCAGGGATGGCTGCTGCAGTCAGGCTGGGGGTCTGAGGTGGCCCTGCACTGCCTCCGGCGAACAGGAAGGGGTGGGGCGAGGTTCGAGGTTCTGGGTTCGGTCTCCAGGCCCAGAGGCATCGGGCGTCTCGAACAATCGAGACGGAGGTTTTTCATCGTTCTCGACCTCTGGGGCCCTCACGGGTGCTCGGGACCGTCAAAAAACGAGTCGGGATGAACAATTTGATCTGGGGAAGTGGTCGAGAGGTCGGGGGCCCGTGCCTCGAAAAAATCGAGACGCCGAATGTCTGGGGGGGCCGTTTTCGGGCCCAGGGAACGTCAAAGACAGATCCGGGGTGAAGCACTGCGCCAGACGGAGTTCCCCTCATCCTCCCTTCTGGACCGATTTTCGCGGAGCCCATCCGGTTCATACCGCCTTCGTCTCTGGGGTCGGAGTAGACTGGGGTCGGAGGATCGTGCCACATCGCCGATGCATTGGCGATGCAGCGTAGCCCGATTTTCTCCACGCCAGCGTCGCCGATGAATCGCCGACGACGCCGATGCATCGGTGATGGATCGGCGATGCGGCACCATCCTCCGACCCCATCTACTCGCGGCGGCCAGCCCGAGGGGGCAGTGAGAGGGGGCGGGCCTTCCCAGAAGGCTTGGAAGTCCGCGGGGCCCCCCCGAGAAGTGCTCTGAGCCTCCGCCCCGAAGACGCAGGGAACGCCCCGGGGGGCCCGAAGAGCTTTGAGCAGCCGCGCCGCCCTCTGCAGAGGACTTCTCCTCCTCGCTCCCCCCCCGCGCCCACCGCGGACATCGGCCCGGACCCCGCCGGGGCCCAGGTCCTGAGCCCGCTGCCGGCGCTGCGCGTGCGGGCCGCCACCCCGCGCGCCGCGGAGTGGCTGCTGCACCAGCGCTTCCCGCGGTCGCACGGCCTCCCGGGTGCCAGCGAAAGGGGGGGTTCATGGGTGGAGGAGGAGGAGGAGGAGGAGGAGGAGGAGGAGGAGGGGGAGGAGGAGGAGGAGGAGGACCCAATTGGGGACACTCCCCTCGAAACTCGAAGGGAACGACCTGTATCCCCATCTGGGGGGGTACATCGGCCTGTGGGGCCTATTCCACGCCGCTGGGGATGGAGATTGGTTAAACGATACTCAAAAAGGGGGGGCTGGGTGGGCGAAATTCGCCGTGGGGGAAGCGGGTCGAAGAGAGAACTGCGTGTTTTTGAAGCCAGAGCTGGCTTCCAAAACACGTAGATTTTTGAGCTGGAGCCGGCTTCCAACACACGCTGCTTTTTAGGCCTGATCGGGCTCCAAAAACACGCATGTTTGAAAGTCGGATCCGGTTTCAAAAATACGCATGTTTTTTTCTTAAGCTAGATCCGGCTTCAAACACATTCAGGAGGGGACAAACACACTGACACAATTCAGCGTCGATTCCCCCGAAACTATGGGAACATATGGGAAGTGGGGGGGGAGACAAGAACCCACAACATATGGAAAAAATATGGGGGATCCTGTTATTTGTGTTTTTTTATTTCATCGCTTCGCTCGTTGTGACGACGACGACGGTGACGTCAATGGTGGCGATGACAACCCTGATGCCAGCGGTGACGACGGCGACGGCTGCGTCGGCGGCGACAACGGCGATGCTGACCTCGGCGTCGTCCTCGACGACGACGAGGACGACGATGGCCCCCCTCGAGGCTGCTTAGAGCTCCAGGTGCACCGCTTCATCGGCAGCGCGTGGGGCGGGCGGGGCAGCGCTCCGAGAGGGGGGCGCCCTTCCCCCCGCGCAGTCGTGGCACGGAGCTCCCTCTTCGGCCGAGGCCCCTCGCGGGGGTTGTCTCGCACTGGTGCCAGCTGGGGGTGCGGGGCTCGAGGCTGTGATCTCGGGAGAGCGTGTCGCCGCTTTCGGCCCCTGGGGGGCCGCCGTCGGGTTCCAGGGCCGTCGACAACGGATCCCGGGCGAAACACTGCACCCGATGGATCTTGAGATGGATCCCGGGGGGGACGCCGGGTGCCCCGACGGCGCAAACAGACACATGGTTTCGCAATTCGCACGGTTTTTGTTGGGGGTGTAAGAAAAGGAAAGTTTTTGAGCGGATTTGGCTTCACCACCCCTCCGTCGTAACCTCAATTCTCGGGGCCCAGCTGGCTCAGACCCTCCCCCCGTCCGCGTTGAAGTCTCGCGGGCTTTCTGAGGTTTTTGCTGTTTCTTGGAAGCTTTGGCTAGTCGCCCCAGAACGGCCGCCAGAGGCCCGCGTTATGTCCTGGAAGCCGACGAGGTTGGGCAAGTAAATTGCTCAGAGCAGGTCCAGATTCCTGATTCCCCGAACGAGCTGAGGCCAGCATCATCGCCAGCCGCAAGGGCATAGCAGTGATACGTTCCCAGATTTCCAAGCCTTCGCAGATTCCCTAGACTTGATGACGTTCCACACGCACTGCAGACACGGGGGCCGCCACATGATCATGCATGAGCAAATTATATCATGACACTGTTCTCGCCTCAATCAAGAGAGTGACGCACTGGACACCGCTCCTAGAGCAAGAGGAGCTCAGATGCAGTCGTTAGTCGATCGTTCGAGGTTTCTCCCCAACTCCAGCCTCCTGTAACCGCTTTCTGCCAAAGAGACCATTCGAATGGCTCCGGGACTAAACATTGCCATTGGGGAAAGCGTCGAGATTGCTGCGCCTCGGACGGGTCCGCCTCGGGGCCCCGCTCATGCCTATTGGCGCGATGACAATCGCGCGATGCGCACCTGGGCCGGAGGGCTGCGAATATCCTCCTCCTCTTCCTCCTCGTTCTCCCTCTCCCCCCTCCATCCCTATGGCTCACCAAACCTCGTCTCTGGCGTAGGCTTCGTTTTTCTGCTGGTGCGGGCAGCCATCCTTGCGTCGATTTTGAAGTTTCGGGCGCCGCCGTGACCATCCTTCCTAAGGATCCTTACCAGGAGGGGGGTGGTCGCATTCGTTTTTTTTGTTTGTGCCGCTTGCCACTGCGGGTACGTCGGCTCCCGCGATGCGCTGCTTTGGGAGTTTCTGGCGCCGAGCGCCAACATCGCGGGGGGATGAACAAATCCCTCCCGTTGGCTGGCGTTGGTAGCAACTGAAGTGGTTCGAAGGCCAGCCTGCGTCAGGTCAGCCTGCGTCCTAAGCATCAGGCCAAGCTTCCCTCATCAAGCAACAAATCGAAAGCAAGAGGCAGGTCCTGCATATGACAAGAAACCGCTTCCCGCCAAGCTCACGGCCATGTCTCGTCGGGCCGAATCTGTGCAGGAAACTAAAGAGATGGCAACCTCCGGCCTGGAGGTGGCCAAAGCGAAGCTGGCGGAAACGACCAAGGCGGTGTCCGACGCGGAGACCAGCCTCGCCAACAGAGATGCGGAGTACGTCAATTTAAAGGCTGAATTGCAGAAGCTTGCCAAAGCAAACCTCAGAGGAGGAGGCGGCCTCAGAGATGCCTGCCTTGGGCGTGGAGATGTTTGCGTCAATGTTCGACGGCTTTGACGGGGTGCCCGACGCCAAGAATGTGGCGCCCATGCTGCTTGAGGCGCCGAAGAAAGGGCCAGCGTCACCCGAGAAGGAGGCACAATCTCCTCAGGCCAAACTCTCTCGTGTCACGACGTGGGACCCTGAGGATGAAGACTTCGTCACCGTCAAAATCCCATCGCGGAGTTCGTGTCCGAAGGCTCCACCAATGAGAAGATATTGCAGAATGCCAAATCACTGGCTGCGGGAGGGTTCCACCAGATCTGTTCGCCTTTTTTACTACTCTCGCGAAGTTGTTCCTGTCGTCGCGGGGGGGGGGGGCAGCACACCTGCATGGCAAACTGCACCTTCACCTTTGGCTGGAAGCTGCAGCCCGACTGTTCTGAATTCGGTTTTTGGAGTTAGGCGCCAGAGGACGTTGCGGAAACCTCTGTTTCAGCCCACATGCCGTCTTCGCGGGTGATTTGAGATTCGTTATACCCGTCTTGATCGCCACCATTTCCTTGCTGCTCACCGGAAGCAGCTCTGGATGCATTGAGATGGGCAGGCGATTTTGCGCCCTTCAGCGCGTTCAAGCACCCCGCCGAGCCCACTTTCGTCTTGTAAGTACACAAGAAATGAGTGTCAAACCGTTTCTCGTGGAATGGATGGTGTCGGATCGTTGCCTTCAGTCATGCGTTTTTCTTGACGAGCATCGGCGTCGCGCGGGTGGTTCGCGTCGCGGTGTTCAGAGTTGGGTACGCACCAGAAGCTACAGGCTATTGGGGGGAGGATGTGCTTTCACAGGGTCGTCGGCCACAGAGACGCCCAGCGGCGCCGGCAGCGCGAGCCTCCGCGCCATCCCGAGCGCCCGGCTCGCGCCGCCGAGGGGGCGCCCAAATTCTCGGATACCTTTCCAGCGTTCCTTTCTGGGCAGTTAGCAAGTCCACTGTTGCAAAGTTCTACGGCATCTGCAGTATTGGTGTTTGAGGCAACCCAGACTTGTTTGCCCCCCGCCTCCAGGTCCTCCGTGAAGCTTGCCCCCGGCTTGCGATGGCAGGGGCGTCGCTCGGCGTTTCGCCCTCGACCCCCCCCCTCGTCGCCTCGCCCTCGCCCGCTTTCGCCCCGCAAGGCGCCGTGCGCTTCCTGTTTGCCTTTTTGCTTTCCCCCAGTTCCCCCCTTGCGCCCCCCTCTTTCGCGCGGGGTTTTCCCACGCGGTGCGCCCCTTATGTTCTCGCCCTCTGCGTTCACCTTTCGTTTCCCCCCTTTTGTTTTCACTATCCGTTGTCCGTCGTCTGTATTCCCCGTCAGCGTTCTTCTCTGTTCCCCCCTCTGTTACCTCCATCGGCTCCTACTTTTGCCCCCCCCCCCCCCCTTTGTTCCCTTTTTTGTTCCCTCCCGTTGCTGCCCCGTTTGGTTCAACCCTGTTGTTGCCTTTCAATCTCCCTTCCTGTGTTCCTTTGTGCCCCCCTCCCCCCTGAGCGATACCCCAGTTGCGTTCCCTGCATGTCCCCCCCGTGCTTGTCTGATTTCCCCCAACCATCCTGCAATGTTGGGCCCCGCCTTTGAAGACAGCGCCCCGCATCTCACTTCCCCTCCCCCTCCCCCCACCCCCCCTTCCCATCCCTGCCTCTGGCCTCCGCGCCAGCCAACGATCTCGGCACGTCCCTCATATGGTTCGTGGCCTCATAGGGAGCTCCACCGAATGCCCCCGTGGCTGCGTCCGCATGCGCCCACCGCGCCAATTTCGGCACACGCCTCACACACTTCGTGGCCCCATGGCGGGCTCCACCGATGGGCTCAGTGGCTGTTTTCGCATGCGCCCACCGCGCACATGTCGCCACACCCCTCACACGCCTCGTGGCCCCACGGAGCTCCACTGAAGGGCCCAGTGGCTGCGTTCGCTTGCGCACACCGCACTAACTTCGGCAAACCCCTCACAGATCTTGTGGCTACATCGGGAATTCCTCCGAAGGCCCCAGTGGATGCGTCCGCACACGCCCACCGCAACCATGTTGGCACGCTCTTCGCACGTGTCGTGACGCCATAGTGACCAGTGGCTGATGTCGCATGCGCCCACCTCAGCCATGTCAGCACACCCCTCACACAGTTCGTGGACTCATGGGGAGCTCCACCGATGGCCGCAGTGGCTGTTGTCGCATGCGCCCGCCGCAGTTCTTTCGGCACGCCCATTACACGTCACGTGGCCCCACAGGGAGCCCCACCGAAGGGCCCAGTGGCTGCATTCGAATGCGCCCACCGCACCATTTTCGGCATACCCCTCACACGCATCGTCGCCCCATAGGAGCTTCACCGAAGGCTCCAAAGAATACGTTGGAATGCGGCCGCCGCGCCCATTTCGGCACACCTCTCACGCACTTCGTGGCCTCGATGGACCCAGTGGCTGCTTTTGCATGCGCCTTCTGTGCCACTTTTGTCAAACCCCTCACAAGTCTTGTGGTCCACCGCAGGGCCCAGAGGCTGCGTTCGCATGCGCCTTCCGTACCAACTTCGGCACATCCCTCACATCTTTCGTGGCCCCTTCGGGAGCTCCTCCGAAGGCCCCAGTGGTTGTATCCGCGTGCGCCCACCGCACCAATTTCGGCACACCCCTCACACGCGTTGTGACCCCATAGGGAGCTCCAGATGCCTCAGTGGCTGCGTCCACATGCGCCCACCGCACCCATGCCGGCACATCCCTCACACAATTCGTGTCCCTACTGGGAGCTCCACCGAAGGCCCCAGTGGTTGCTTTTGCACGCGCCCATCCCACCCATTTCAGTACACCCCTTACACGTTTCGTGCCCTTACAGCGCTCTCCACCCAAGCCCCCAGTTGCTGCGTTCGCATGCACCCACCGCGTCTATTTCCGCACATAGGGAGCGCCACCGAAGGCCCCAGTGGCGGTGTTCGCATGCGTCCACCGAACCATTCGCGGATCACCACGCACACGTTTCGTGGCCACGTAGCGAACGCCACCGAAGGCTTCAGTGGCTTTGTTCGCATGCGTCCGCCCCGCCCATTTCGGTACATCCCTCACACGCTTCGCGGCCCCATAGGGAGCTCCACCGAATGCTCCAGTGGAGGTGCTCGCACGCGTCCATCCCGCCATTTTCAGCATACCCCTCACACGCCGAAGGCCCAAGTGGCTGCGTCCGCATGCGCTCACCGCGCCCATGTCGGTATATTCCTCACACTCTTCGTGGTCCCACACGGAGCTCCACCGATGACGATGTCCAGAACTGCGTTACTCACAATTGCACATGCGTGGGCTTCTCGCCAAGCTCATGCATTCCCTTTCTTGTTCCCATCCTCTATTTCCCTTTCTGTTTGTTGTGCCCTCCTGTTCCCCCTTCAGCTTTTCGGACGACGCTGGCGGCCACGGCGGTGGCGGCGGGAGGGCCAGCGACGGCGAAGACGACGACGATTGTGACCGCCGTCGTCGTGCTCCTTCCCTCTCTTCCTCCTCCACGCCACATATTCTGAAGCTTGAGTTTCAAGCCAGGCTTAAGGATCAGAAGCGGCGTAGAAATCAAGCACAAAGCTTGTCCCGCCCTGCCGACACGTCAGGGAGCGCGACAGGGAGGGGGTTCTTCAACAAGTAGGGAGAGCGGAAGAGGATGAGGCGGCGGAGGAGGAGGAGGAGGAGGAGGCGGAGGAGAGGGGGTGGAGGCGCGGGAGGAGGAGGAGGAGGAGGAGAAGGGGGAGGAGGCGGAGGCGGAGGCGGAGGCGAGGAGGAGGAGGAGGAGGAGGAGGAGGAGGAGGAGGCGCAGGGGATGGGGTGGAGGAGGAGGAGGAGGAGGAGGAGGAGGAGGAGGAGGAGGAGTAGGAGGAGGAGGAGGAGGAGGAGGAAGAGGAGAGGAGGAGGTGGGGGTGGAGGAGCGGGTGGATGAGCGGGAGGAGGAGGAGGAGGAGGAGGCGCATGAGGAGGAGGAGGAGGAGGAGGAGGAGGAGGGAGGAGGGAGGATGAGGAGGAGGAGGAGGAGGAGGATGAGGAGGAGGAGGAGGAGGAGGAGGAGGAGGAGGAGGAGGAGGAGGAGGAGGAGGAGGAGAAGGCGGCGGAGGAGGCGGAGCGGGGGGGAGCAGGCGCGGGCCACCCGTGCTCTTCGCAAGGGGGCTTCCGGGAACAGTCCGCGCTTGGGCGGTCTGGGAGGTGCCCCTCCACGGGCGCCGTGGCGGCGGCGGACCTCGGCGAGGCGGCAGCGCCTGCCGCCTCCCTGCCCTGCGCGGGCCGATAGGTGGGCACGGTGACGACGCGGCCCTCGAGGATCGAGTTTTGAGGATCGATAAGGGGAACGAACAATGACATAAACATACAACATCGGAGGTCCGCGCGGATTTCTTGGATCCGGTCTGGACCCCCCTCCCTGGCGCGCGGAGCGCGCCAGGGGCGGCGCTGGAGGCGCCGCCAGGGGGCCCCAGCGCCGATCCGAGAAATCCGCGCGGACCTCTGAGTTATGATGTTTACACCATCGTTCGCTCCCCTAGATAAGGTACCGATACCGCTACCCCTCCAACGTTTTCGCTTTGTTGGGCCTCTTGGGAGGCTCTTGTCGCCACGGCTGGATGCGCCTCGAAGTTCTGTTCAGAACGCGCCCTGGGAGAGTTTCGGGGGGTCGCGGGATCGGTGCCTTTTGACCGTCGTGGCCGCTCGGTGGCCATCGTGACGGTACGGCCCTTGAGGAGGGAGGTTCGAGGATAAAGGTTGCCAGATGTTCGTTTTGGGGACCTTCCTGGGACCTACCTGACGGATCTGGTCGACTGCCGGCCGCGCGATCCGGGCCCCTGGGCCGCGAGCCCACGGATGCGGGGCGCTTTTGTTCGCGGATGCCCCGCGTGGCACGTACAGTGGAGGCCCATGCCAAGAAGCACCATGCTTGCCTCCAGGGTGTCCTGGCTTTCTTGAGATTTGGTGGTTCTGCTGTGGAACGGCGTGACGTTCCCACACCAAAAATCGATGGACGTCCTGGGGTCTCAGGGTTGAAAGGGGCCCTATCAGGCCCTATCAGGGGCCCCCCTGGGGCCCAAGAGGGGCACGAAAGGTGCATGCATGTTTCTCCCCTCCGTTTATCGCCCCCCATCACTGAACGCCCATCGTGGATGTGTTCGCTGCTCGTGCCACAAAGTGTTCCGCATGAGAGGCTGGTGTACGCCATCATCTCTTGGTGACGCCTCCCGCGAGGGACCTCTGCGGGGACCTCCGGAAGCTTTGCGCCTGCGCAGCCTCGACGCGGCGGCGACGCCATGTGTTGTGTTTTCTGTTGTAAGCATATGTGGGGGTCTGTGTGGGGGGCCTCGGGGGTGGGGGCTCATGTCGGTGGCGCGCACCCGGGCGGGCAGGTGCGAGGGGGCGGGCCTTCTCGTCTCAGAAGGCGGCGGAGCTTCTCGGAAGCCCTTCGGCCTTCTGGTAAGCCTTTGCGTAACCGGAGGAGGCCAGGTGGCTTCTCAGAGGGCTGGAGGCCTTTTAATCCTGCTGAGAAGGCCCGCCCCCTCTGCCTTCCCCCCTGGGCGAGCCGCCGATTTTGGCGACAGCTGGCCGGACGCAGTTCGAGACACTGGTCAGGATGTCTTGTGGCCGGGGTCCAGGCACGGATTTTGAGCAAAGGTTGCTTTGCTGTAGGTTCGCCCTGCCACGGCACCCTGGCGACGCCAGCGCAGGGAGTGCAAAGGTGACTGGGGGCCCGTCTCGGCCCCAGAGCCCACAGGTAAACGGTCCGCAGCACAAATTTCGGTGGCTAGGCAAGCATAGGAATATATACAATCTGGGCTGCTGATTCAGAGACCGTTCCAGTGAAAACTTGAACGTATTTCCCAACAATCCTGTGTTGTTGGATTCCGTTTTGAAGAGACAGCCCCCGCGTCTCTTCCTCTCCTCCTCCCGCTCCTCCCTTCTCCCCTTACCCCCCTCACTTTGGCACGCCCCTCACACGTTCCGTGGCCCCGCAGGGAGCTCCAACGAAGGCCCCAGTGGCATGGTTCGCATGCCGCCCCCCATACGCGTTGGCACACCCCTTACACGTTTCGTGGACCCATAGGGAGCTCCACCGAAGGCCCCAGTGGTATGGTTCGCATGCCGACCCCCCTCCACTCTGGCACACCCCTCACCCCTCACACGTTTCGTGGCCACGTAGAGAGCTCCAGCGAAGGCTCCAGTGGCATGGTACGCATGCCGCCCACCTTCCACTTCGGCACACCACCTCAGTGGCATGGTTCGCATGCCGTCCCCCCTCCACTCTGGCACACCCCTCACACGTTTCGTGGACCCACAGGGAGCTCCACCGAAGGCCCCAGTGGCATGGTTCGCATGCCGCCCCCTGTCCAATTTAAAACTTCCCTCTCACGTTTCACATTCCCACAGGGAGCTCCGCTGAAGTCTCCACTTTGACACACCACTCGCACGTTACGTCGCCTCATGGGGAGCTCCACCGAAGGCCCCAGTGGCATGGTTCGCATGCTGCCCCCTTTCATTTTGGCACACCCCTTACACGTTCCGTGGCCACATAGGGAGCTCTACCGAAGGCCCCAGTGGCATGGTTCGCATGCCGCCCTCCCTCTCACTTTGGAACGCCCCTCACGCGTCTCGTGGCCCCGTAGGGAGCTCCACCGAAGGCCCCAGTGGCATGCTTCGCATGCCGCCCCCCCCTACACGTTGGCACACCCCTTACACGGTTTGTGGCCCCATATGGTGATCCACCGAAGGCCCCAGTGGTATGGTTCGCATGCCGACCCCCTTCCACTCTGGCACACCCCTCACACGTTTCGTGGACACGTAGGGAGCTCCAGCGAAGGCTCCAGTGGCATGGTTCGCATGCCGCCCTCCCCGTCACTTTGGCACGCCCCTCACGCGTCTCGTGGCCCCGCAGGGAGCTGCAACGAAGGCCCCAGTGGCATGGTTCGCATGCCGCCCCCCCTACACGTTGGCACACCCCTTACACGGCTTGTTGCCCCATATGGTGATCCACCGAAGGCCCCAGTGGCATGGTTCGCATGCCGTCCCCCTCCATTCTGGCACACCCCTCACACGTTTCGTGGCCACGTAGGGAGCTCCAGCGAAGGCTCCAGTGGCATGGTACGCATGCCGCCCACCTTCCACTTCGGCACACCACCTCAGTGGCATGGTTCGCATGCCGCCCCCAATTCACGTCGGCACACCCCTCACACGTTTCGTGGACCCATAGGAGCTCCACCGAAGGCCCCAGTGGCATGGTTCGCATGCCGCTCCCCGTCCAATTTAGCACCCCCCCTTCCCACGTCTCACATTCCCATAGGGAGCTCCGCTGAAGTCTCCACTTTGGCACACCACTCGCACGTTACGTCGCCTCATAGGGAGCTCCACCGAATGCCCCAGACGCATGGTTCGCATGCTGCCCCCTTCCATTTTGACACACCCCTACACGTTCCGTGGCCACATAGGGAGCTCCACCGAAGGCCCCAGTGGCATGGTTCGCATGCCGCCCTCCCCGTCACTTTGGCACGCCCCTCACGCGTCTCGTGGCCCCGCAGGGAGCTGCAACGAAGGCCCCAGTGGCATGGTTCGCATGCCGCCCCCCCTACACGTTGGCACACCCCTTACACGTTTTGTTGCCCCATATGGTGATCTACCGAAGGCCCCAGCGGCATGGTTCGCATGCCGTCCCCTCTCCACTCTGGCACACCCCTCACACGTTTCGTGGCCCCGCAGGGAGCTCCAGTGATGGCTCCAGTGGCAGGGTACGCATGCCGCCCCCTCTTCACTTTGGCACGCCCCTCACACGTTCCGTGGCCCCATAGGGCTCTCCAGCGAATGCCCCAGCGGCATGGTACGCATACCGCCCACCCTCCACTTCGGCACACCCCTCACACGTTTCGTGGCCCCGTGGGGAGCTCCACCGAAGACCTCAGTGGCATGGTTCGCATGCCGCCCCCTCTCCACTTTGGCACGCTCCACTTTGGCACTTTGGCATGCCGCCCCCCCTACACGTTGGCACACCCCTTACACGGCTTGTTGCCCCATAGGGAGTTCCACTGAAGGCCCCAGTGGCATGGTTCGCATGTCTCCTCCCCTCCAATTTAGCACACCCCTCCCAGGTTTCATATTCCCACAGGGAGCTCCGCTGAAGTCTGCAATTTGGCACACCACTCGCACGTTTCGTCGCCTCATAGGGAGCTCCACCGAAGGCCTCAATGGCATGGTTTGTTTGCGGCCCTCTTCCTCTTTGGCACACCCTCGCACGTTTTGTGGCCCCATAGGGAGCTCCTCTGAAGGCAGTTCTCACGCCATCGGTAGTCACAACTGATCGCAGATGCATATTGTTGGATCATTCGACCGGATAATGTTGTGAAGCGCTGCTCGCGGATTCGCAGATATAACCGACAGTGATGTCAGGACGACGGTAGTAGGGCGTGGTAATACAGCGGCAGTCAGTCGCACCTCGACAAAGAAGTTGTTGGTAGCAGCGAGATAAAGGGTTCCTTGCGATTGGAAGGGGCCACTCTTGGTCGTCGCCCCCGCAGCGCCAGTCGTACAAAACCACTGTAACCAACCGCGTTCGTCTGAGGCAGGAAGTAGGAGGAGGAGGAGGAGGAGGAGGAGGAGGAGGAGGAACGGAGGAGAGGGGGAGGAGAGATGACGTATGAGAGAGGACGGAGGAGTGCGAGGAAGAAAGAGGAGCAGCAGGAGGAGGAGGAGGCGGCGGCTGCGGCGTCGAAACGGTGTCCGGCCCAAGGTCGACTTACATCGAGCTTAATTCAAAAGATGGCCATGTTTTGGATTGTGCGATCTACTGAGCGCGGGAGGACTCTGCGGTGAGATGGCCCTACGGCGGGAGCCCCGAGTCGCCCCAGCTCAACCACGACCATCGAACACGGACGGCGAATTCCAGGTCGGGACACGCACTTCGGGCGTATCGAGGACACCCGCGGGCCGCCACGCTCACCAGCTCTCTGACACTGAGGCGTGGGGGAGCTGCTTCTCCAGCTCGTCCAGGTGGCCGAAGATCCACCGCATTCTCAGCGACAACTGGAGGAACCCGATCCACTGCACCCCCGGCGCCCACTGGAGGAACCCGATCCACTGCGCTCCCAGCACCAACAGAAGGCAAACGAACCACTGCACTCCCAGCGACAACTGGAGGAACCCGATCCACTGCACTCCCAGCGACTGCAGAAGGCAAGCGATCCACGCCACTCTCAGCAGAGCAGGAGGAACCCGAAGGTGACATCATATCCCCATCCGCCGAGGTCCGTTCTAAAAATGGTGTTGGTACAAAAGTGTATTTTGTCGATTGGCCCTCCAACGTGTCCTGATTGTTTTCCCCGCGTCCCAAGTACAGCGTGGTAGACGAGCGATCCTCTCCCGAGGGATCCAGACCACTGTTTCCCCCGCGTCCTAGCATAGGCGAGAGCGACGACCGACCCTCTCGAGAGGGATCCTGACCGCATCTCCTGCGTCCAGACGGTAGCGTGGCTGGCGACGACCCTCCTCTTAGGGATCCTGACCGCGCTTGCCACGTCCCGACGAGGATGGATGTACCGGTGGGTTAACGTAGCGAGACCGATCTCTGACAGGTACTGGGTGACTGCATGCCCTTACGCTTCGTCGGACTGGTCCATCGCCCGCTGCAGTATCCTTTCCAAGTTGCTTCTCGGCGCCTAGCCTATTTTGTGGTTGGCCCCGCGCTGGATCAGGCAACCTTACATTGCTTTCATCATCGCTCCGTCCGTCAGAGGCATCGTAAAGTGTGCCGCCCCCTCTTTGTACGCCTCGTCCTGCGACCACGCACCAACATTTCCCTGTCGCTCACGTCTGTGATCGCGTCGAGCGTCTGTTGCTGGGCCTCCCATCCCTCTGTGTTCCTCTGCCCCACGCTGTCGCCCGCCTCCTGAATCCCCGCGCAAACCACCATGAACATCTGCACGCACGCTGGTGCCAATTTGGCATCTGGGGGATGGTTGGCCTGCGGGTCCTTGAGAAACGCGTCTCTCTTGGTCACCGCCTCCTTCGCGTACGCCCTGCCAGCGCGCAGCCCTGTCTGAACCACCGCCGCCTCCTTGCTCATCGTGAGGGTCGCGAAGGCCGCCGTCATCAACATTCTCAACTGGCACGTGTTGCCAAGGACGGCCCGAACGAGAATCGGCACTAGCCTCGCCACGGTCTGTGCGTCCATCTTCGGAAGACGGTCGACTGTGTCGGGCGCCAGGCCGTACAGTTTCCTAATCTCCATCGCCGCGTCGGGTGGTTGCTGGGGCTCAGCGCCTCCGCGTCCTGCTGCCTGCTGTCCAGGGGCGTGATGTGCCGCGCTGCCTCTTCGTCGTACTGGCTGTCCACGCGGGCGGGAAGAAGCCTGCGAGCCACTGCGGCCTCGCCCTGCAGGCCTCCCTCCTCCTCCTCGCTGCGCCGAACGTGACCTCTCAGCCTTCCGAGCTCAGCTTGTACACCAGCTGGCTCACTCGCCAGTGCGTGCCGAGGCAGAGGGCAACCAACATGTTTCAGCAGTGCGTACTCAGGGCGTCGAGATCGGGGAAAGGCTCGCTCACTGTCACTGAACAACAACAGGCTGCATTGTGACCACCGTGAGTGGCTACGACAGTGATCGACGCGAGAGGGCACGACAAGTCCGTTTGCGCCTGAATTGGGTGACGATACGGGGTCGACATGATCGGACATCGATTCCTCAGCGACGCCTGCAACGAGTGTTCCTGGGCAATCCTCCGAGTCCCGAACGACTGCCTGCATAACATGCGCTGACTCGTTACGGGGGCCGTGTGCATGAAGGATCGCATCGAGTGCCCTCTTCCTGACGAGAACCTCTGGTGAGCCAGCAAGGCCCGACGCGTCCTGAACTCAAGGAGGAGGAGGAGGAGGAGGAGGAGGAGGAGGAGGGATGTGTGAAGGAGCAGGAGGAGGAGGGGGGGAGAAGAAGGAGGAGGAGGAGGAGAAGGAGGGCTGTGTGAAGGAGAAGGAGGAGGAAGGGGGGGAGAAGGTGGAGAAGGTGGAGGAGGAGGAGGAGGAGGAGGAGGGATGTGGGGAGGAGGGGGGCGAGGAGGACGAGGAGGACGAGGAGAACGAGGAGAACGAGGAGAACGAGGAGGAGGAGGAGGACGAGTTGGACGAGGAGGAAAAAGAGGAGCAGGAGGAGGAGGAAGAAGAGGAGGAGGAGGAAACCACCCTGGCCGGGCTGCCGGCGGAGGCGGTGGAGCTGTTCACGGCGAGGCTGCCATTCGTCTGGGGCGCGCAGGCGGCTCTTCTTGCCGCCCGCCCCCCCTGGTTAAGTCAGCATCGCCTCGAGATTTGAGCCAGAAGGCAACCTGGGAGAGGCACCTCCTCCTCCTCGCTCTTGCTCATCCTCGTCCTCCTCCTCCTCCTCCTTCCCCTCCCCCGTCCTCGCCGTCTCCTTGTGCCCCTGCGGCGGCCAGACTCGGGAGTTGCCCGGGGAACCGATCAGGATCGTTTCACCGACCCCTCTCCCCATCCCCATCCCCACAAAGAACCCCACCATTTTGCCACCTCAGCTGGGCGTCATGCCCCTCGAAACACGAAGCGACCTGCCTATACCCCGATCTAAGGGGGTTAATCGGTCAGTGCGCCCCGGCCATGGCCATTCCCTTGGGGATAGGGGTCGGATCAACGATGCTCATTAAGGGGCAACGCCCATGGGCAAAGTAGGCATCAGTGGATTCCCAGATCTCAATTTACTTGAATCGCCTTCCGACTTCAAAAATGATATGCTTATGTTTTTGTTGTTGTTCTTAGTGTTTGGTTCAGCTTGGCTCAAAGCTCTGTCGCATTCTGCGTGCGTATCGTATTCCTCGGATCTGCCACGCCAGGCCCATGCTCCGACACCTCCTCGCCAACGTTTGCTGCGCTGACGCCTTCCATTCCGCGGATTTCATGCCAGCCTCGCCCAGCCGCCGCGTCCTGCTACTGGGCTTCTCGGTGGACCGCTACGCGATCAAAGACTTCTGCGCATACCAGGGGGACCTTGTAATCAGGCGTGACAGGTGCGCGGACCAGGCGAACACTTACAGTGACGCTTTCGCTACGATCCCGCGTACTGCGCCTCGTTCACGTATATGCTTATTCCTGGCACGGGGCACAGTGGGTAATCGCAACCGCCGTGTATGACAGGCTTTTTGCTCGACGCGCGGACGGTCATTCAACACATTCTCCCCGTGGTCGCGGGGAGCTGGTTATCGTCGCCAACTGGCAGACAATCGATTGTGGTACGCAGTTCGACGCAGCGGAAGACGCGGCTGAGAGGTGTGCGCACGCTCTGCCCACTTTGCTGCAGGCCGTAGAGGGCAGCTTTCCGCGCAGCCAGACCGTCTTTCGAACGGCCTTGGCGAGTTTCAAAAATTGCAGCACATGCCAATGGGATGTGTATACACATAGATACGTATGTACGTGTGTGTATATGTATATATGTGTATATATACATATATATACATATTTATATGTATGTGTATATATATATATATATATATATATATGTGGGTTGGCATTTTCCACGGGTGACTCATGAGGTCTTGACCCGGAGGGGAATTACTAGGACGCCACGATGCTATCGACTTTTACACAATCCGGACCGAGTTGCTGAAGTCCCACGAGCCCAGCACTCTATCTCGTTGATGGCCAACATTCTCGCCCTCTGCCGCCAGCTTATCTCTTTAATGAGATGCTCGCGCTCTTGGGGCTCGACTGAGTACCATGCCCGACCGCGGGCTGCGAACAGCTCACCAGTAAAGTCGTTGCCGACGAACTTAAGCAGGACGCGCCAGAAGTCGCCGACAAGACCAAACGCATGCACCCCCGGCGCGGGCCAGCAATACGGCAGGCGCAGAGCCAGGGAACTCACGGACTTGGTGACGGTGACGGCCACGTGTGCGAGAGTTTTGAAACAGCCTGTAGGCGCGGGATGAGCGGCGCCTCGGGTTAGGTTGCCGTCTCTCCCTTCCTCCATTCCTCCCTTCCTCCCTCACCCTTCTTGTCTCCCTCTGCGCAGCGCGCGGAGGTAGTGTCGGGGCCTGGGCCGCGTTCCGCCCCATCTCGGTTTCATTTGCAGTGAAGCGCCTTCCGACTTCAAGGAACGGTGCGTTTTTGTTGCCTTCTGTTATTCTGAGGGCGCACCCGAACCCGATATGACTGCATCCGCTTTCCTACATGATGTTCCCACCCTCTCTTCCGACCGGCGGCTTCAGGAGCAGCGTCCGTGGTGGGCAATGCCCGAGCCGATGAGCGATTCAGGCAACACGATGGGCGTCGGGGGCGGAGCGCGGAATTCGTTGAACACGCGGCGAAATCCGAACCTTACCCCCGCATCCCGTCGATTCGAAAGAATCGATGGTTGGCGAGAGCGCGGTTCGGATGTCGCCACATACAGGGTTGCAGGGGCAACGTCCATGGGCGAGGCGAAGAGCAGGCAGCTGCAATTGTTGGGATGAGGGAGCCGCCTTTGGCGCCCCCCGAGGCCGACCCCGAACCCCAAGTGGTGATGACCTGGGGCGCGGCACACGACATGGGTGCGCCAGTCGCGGGTCATCACAGCTGGGAGGACCAGGGTTCGCTTGGGGGGTGGCCCAAGGGCGGCGCCCTCATCACAGCGGTTGTGGTTGTCTCTTCTTCGCCCTTGAAGCGTTCAGGGGCAGCGTCAGAGGGGGAACGTTCAGGAGGAAAAGAACCGCACAGACACAATGAAACGTCGACTCCCAGGAACGTATGGGAAGCTGTGGGAAGTGGAGGGGGGGGCAGGCGAAAGCCCGGCAAATATCAGAACATCTAGGGGAACCCTTGGAGTCGTGTGCCTACTTCTTTGTGTGTCCCCAGGCCCCCTTTAAACGTGTCGGGCTCGAGGCTCGAAGCTTCTGGCGCTCTCGTCGGTTCTCGACGGCTCTTCCCAGCCTCGGGGTGCCTTCCCAGCGGCTGCGCATCTCCGAGAGCGCTCTGGGGGCGCCAGGAACGTCCCGAACGGTCGCCCTGAGGCCCGAGTCGTGGCCCGAGAAAAAACAAATCCAGACGGATGTGGCGTGATGTGGCGTGATGGGGGGTAGGCGTCGACCCACAACCGCCCATTCATCGCCGATGAGGGCCCGACATCCCAGCCCGCCCAGGAAGGATCGGCTTCGCCATCGGGGGCCTGTCGACGGTGCATCGGCGGTGCATCGCCGATCCCAGCCGCCACCGCCCGCGCCGCCGCCGTCGTGCGCCAGCGCCGTCGTCCGGTGCCCGTGCCGAGCCTGGTTGGCCGAGAGCGAGCGTGACGACACGCGCCGCCGCTTGCTGCAGTCGTCTCTCCCCCGACCTTCTGGTCCTGCTCCAGCCACGCGCAGAAGGGGGTGGGGGAGGGGGGAGGGCTTCTTAGAAGCACCCCTGCCTCTTAGAAGGCGCGGGCCTTATCTATAGATCTAAGGCCGGCGCCTTCTAAGAAGCAGCCTCCTTCTAAGAAGCCCTCCCCCCTCCCTCCACCCCCTTCTGCGCGCCGTCAACTGCTCCTGCTGGCGGATGCCCCGCCCTCCTGGTGAGAGCGGGGTAGAGATAGGCAGACCAGCCACAACTGGGGGAGCTGTGGTCCTTACCCCCCTGGTGGATCCATCGATTTCGACATCCCTCTCGAGGGATCGATCGTCGAGGCGATGGGTTCCCCCAGGGGGGAAGGACCACAGCTCCCCCAGTTATGGCTGGTCGGATAGACAGCCGTCCTCGGCGCGGACGTTGGATCGTCGCCGTCGGCGTCGCCGTCGGCGTGGACCGGCGCCGCCGAGCCGCCGCCGTCGGCGTCGGCGTCATCGTTTCGGCGGCGGCGTGCTGACACGCAGGAGGGGGGGCAGGGCGGCCGTCTGAGGACCCCTCCGCCCTGGCGGGGCCTGCCATCTGAGGAGGCCCCCTCCCCTCCCCATGGGAGGAAGGAACGGCGACACCAGTACAACCACCACCACCACCAGGGGGGCCACCTCCAGCGAGGGGGTCCACGATACCCCCCGTGCTGGGGATGCGATATGTTTCGCGCGAGGGGTGGCGCCACGAGGACCCTTCCTGGAGCCTCGCGCTGGTGGTGGTGGTGGTGGTGGTGGTGGTGGTGGTGGTGGTGGTGGTGGCGCCTCTCCTTGCTCTCGTCTCGAGGCGCGGGGCCGACCTGTTCGGAGAGTCCCCCCTCGCCTCGCTCTATCCCCCTCTTGCTGGGTCGGTGGAGATGGGGGCCACTGTGCACGCCGCTGCACGCCCGAGTCTTCCAAGGGGCCATGGCCTCCCCCGCCTGGCCTCAACTGAGCCTGGACGGCTGCCCGCAGAGGTGGTTCGTTTTGATTGTCCAGCCCGACCCGACCTTCCAGGATGCGGGCTTCTCAGAGCGGGGCCCAGAGAGCGGGTGGGCCTCGTCGGGGCCGCGAGGGCCCGTGCTGCCTGCCGGTGCGCGCGCCGTGCGTCGAGGTCGCGCAGTTGTCTCGGGTGCTGCCAGAAGTGCGCGTGGCCCAAGGTGCACCCAGGATTCCCAAGGAGGCCCCCCACGGCCTCCACAGCATCCCTCACGAGGCCCTGAGGGCCGCAGGAGCTCCAAAACTGAGTGAAAAGCTGGGAGCACCGTGGGCCAGGGGTATCTTTAGCAACCCCCGACTGACGTCGGCGCATCGGCGTTGCGTCAGAAGAGGAGATGGTATTCTCAAATTGGACGGGACAGCGAGGGGAGTTGGGCACGTCTTGTCGGAACGGTTGGAGGGGGGTTGGAGGAGGAGGAGGTGGAGGAGGAGGAGGACGTTCTCTTGCGCTCATATTCATCCTTCATGTTGTTCTCTATCTTCCTCCCTCTCTTCCCAAACTCGTTCTCCTCCTCGTTGTGTTCTCTTACGTGTCACCCCTTCTCCCAGATCCTCGTCGATCTTCCTCCTCATCCTCCACCTGTCCTTCCTCGCCATTCTCCCCCCCTCTTCCCGAGCGAGCCCTTTCTCGGTGCCACCTCGTCCTCCCCCTCCTCTATCCCACCCCGGCTGCTCCCTTCTCGCTCATTGCTCCACCCCTCCATCCCCGTCCTGCATGTCCTCCATGTCTCTGCATCGCCTTCATCCTCCATCCATTATCCTCTCCCCTGTCCTCTTCCCCTCCTCCCCGCCCTCCCATCCGTCCTCCCTCCTTTCCTCCCTCATCCCTTCTTCCGTGCTCCCCCCTCCTCCCTCCCTTCATCTCGATTATTCTCCCTCCGCCCATCATCCCTTTTCCTTTGGCCGCTCCCTCCTCTTACTTCGCGGATTT